TAGGGGATGCCGTCCCTGCCTGTGGCAGGGGTTGGGACTGGATGAACTTTAAGGTCCCTTCCAACATAAACCAGGCTGGGATGGTTCTGTGATGATTTTGGCAAGGTGCAGCACAGCAATGAGTCTGACTCGGATCTTCCCTAAGTGGCACCAGCCTCGTTCCTCAGGTTAATTTTTAATTGCTGATTAAGGCATATTTTGATAGTGGACATGAGAAAACAAGGAACCGGGGAGTCTGGTACAGCCAGGCACAGGGACACGGGGACAGACACGCCCTGCGCTCCCCACTATGGGCTCTGCAGCACTAGAGCCACAGGACGGTCCCTCAGCTGTCCTTGAAGAGAGGCTTTAGCAGGGCCTGTTGTGTCTGATGACGGTTGGTAGGTTTGAACTGAAAGATTCAGGCTGGATGTGAGGAAGGAATTTTTTCCATGAGGGCAGTGAAGCACTGGCACAGGTTGCCCAGAAAGGTGGTGGATGCCCCATCCCTGGAGTCATTCCAGGCCAGGCTGGATGTGGTTCTGGGCAACCTGGTCTCAATGAAGACATCCCTGCTCGCTGCAGGGGTCAGATGAGCTTTGGGGATCCCTTGCCCACCCCAGGGAAGGCAGCACTGGGGCAGCAGCAGCGCAGGTCCCGCATGGATCCTGCCGCATTCCTCCCTGGTACTCACATCATGGGCGAAGGCGTAAGGGGTGATCCAGGTGACGGGCTGTCCCAGCACCTCAGCCTGGTAGTAGATGCCCTTGATGGAGAGGAAGACCTGGCAGAGAATGCAGGAAAGGCTCAGGGGGAGGAAGCCCATGGGTGCTCCTTTGTCCCTGTTCTTCTTAACCCTTCCCGTATCAGCCCAGCAGCACTCACTCCCCAGCTGAAGCACCAGCACAGTGTGACTGGTGCCATCGAAGGGCACAAGCTCAGCACCACCACCTCTGCAGCCCACCCCAGGCAGGGCACCAGGGGGGTCTCAGACCCACCTCCTGGAGCACCCACCTTGCGCAGGGAGCGGGAGGCGATCACGTAGTTGAGGAACTCCACAGCCAGGCGCCGGCAGAGCTGGATGGTCTGGACGTGGCACTTGCCTGTGCGTGGGAAGGTGGAGAACAGGAAGCACATGGAGAGAGCATCATCCAGGTCCCGCAGAGCATCCACAAAGGTTGGGTACCTGTGCCCGAGCAGGAGGAGGAATCTCAGAGCCATGTTCACCAGGAGCTGCTGGGGCTGGTGGAGACCACACAGGACATGGGCACAGACATCAAAAAGCATCAATCTCCTGCATGTTCCACCAAACTGGTGACCCACATGGATGGAGTGTCCCTCCTGGGCACTAGGGAGCTCACAAACACCAGCTCGTGGGACTCAGGGCCAGGAAGCTTCTTGGATGAGGGGACAGCAAGACCCCAGTTACAATGTGGTGTCAACAGGTTTTAGAGCACCCACAGGCACTGAGTGTTGGAGAACTGTGTGCTGGGCTGCACCCCCAGAACATGAGCATCAGGTCAGGGAGGGGATCCTGCCCCTCTGCTGTGCTCTAAGGATACCCCTCCTGCAGCCCTGATCCAGCTCTAGCGAACAGCACAAGAGGGACGTGGAGCTGCTGGAGCGAGGCCAAAGGAGGCCATGGAGCTGCTGCGAGGGCTGGAGCAGCTCTGTTCTGGAGCCAGGCTGAGAGAGCTGGGCTGGGTCAGCTGGCGAAGAGAAGGCTTCTGAAGGGGACACCTTAGAGCAGCTCCAGTGCCTCAAGGGGCTCACGGAAAGCCTGGGAGGGGCTTTCGACAAGGGCCTGGAGGGACAGGACAAGGGGAATGGCTTTAACCTGCCAGAGGGGAGATTGAGATGTGCTCTGAGGCAGAAGCTCTTCCCTGTGAGGGTGCTGAGGTGCTGGCACAGGGTGCCCAGAGAAGCTGTGGCTGCCCCATCCCTGGCAGTGTTCAAGGCCAGGTTGGACACAGGGGCTTGAAGCAACCTGCTCTAGTGGAAGGTGTCTCTGCCTCCGGCAGGGGGTTGGGACTGGAAAAGCTTTAAGGTCCCTTCCAATCCAAACCAGTTTGTGGCTCTGTGAACCCCAGCGCTGACCCACCAGGACAGCGTTCCTGCGCTGCAGCACACCAGCACGGGGCACTCCTTGGTCAGATGAGCGCTGCAGGACTCAAAGGCTGCAGTCAGGGGAGATGGTGAGGTCCCACCACTGCAGCAGTGGTGCAGTCACCCTGTGCCCGTATCATCTCCCATCCTGAGCTTGTCAGGGCAGCGCCTGCCCCTTGGTGCCATTTCCCTTGCCTCAACCTGCACCAGCACAGTGAGGACACCAGGGGGACAATGAAGAGACCTGCCAAAGCAGGTTCCTTCCCTCCTGGGTTTTCCCCCCACCCCATGCCACCAAATCCATCAACTCATGAACAGCCACCATCCATCAGCCCTCCCTCCGAGGAAAATGGTGCCCAGGGAGAGGAGGAGAGCATTGAGCGTCTTCCTGGAGATCCCAGATCCATCTAGGATGGCCAGGCACTCCCTGCTCTCTCGTGCATTGCTACAGCCAGCATGCAGCACACCATGGCCTTCTCCTCCAGCCCACAAATACTGGTTTCCATCACCACCCTCCGGACACACACAGGAGATGGATCCCTAAAGAGGGATGGACACAGCAAAGGCTCCACAGCACCAGGGCAAGCTCCTCCCAAGAGGACGGCTCTGCCAGGACATGGCACACAGCTCACCCACCTCTCCTTCACAATGTGGTCGAGCTTGTAGGTGGGCTTGTTGTCCTTCAGCCGGTCTACGGTGCTCCACTCGCTCTTCCCGTACGCCTTCCGGAGCTTCCGCACGAACACCTGCGGGAGAGCGGGAATGTTGCGTCTGTGGGAGAGCCCGAGCCCCTGGGGCCCCTCCTGGGGGCTCCTGCAGGAAAATCACCTTGTACTCCCGGAACTTGTTGACGATGGGCTCATGAAGGAGGAACTTGATGTCCTTGAGGAGGTAGAAGGTCCTGGGAGCCGTGGAGCCTTTGTTCACCTTCTTCTTGTGCTTGGGCTCGTGGGGGTAGATCCCCTTCAGGATGCAGAGCCGCCTGGTGGCGGTGATGAGGATAAAACATGTGGGGCTGCAGCACCCAAAGGTGCTGCCACCT